CCCCCAAAAAAAAACCTCATGACGGTTCATATAATCTGGATTACACATAGTTTCTCTGCGATTTATGCTCCGTATATCTTAAGCGAAGCTTGGAACCCTCCCCCCAATACATTTTGCTGGATCCGCCACTGTGTGACGTTATCTCTTTAGAGCTGGAATCTGTGACTTCAGAACAATTGGTATCTATAGAGTTGATGTACAAAAATATCGTGACGTTGACCGACTGATTGCCGACACTCAATTTAGTTCAATCATAATCGATATTTTGTACTGGTGAAATTCAAATAAACTTCCGAACTCATCATAATCGCGTACTGCATGGCCTCGTGTCAATATTTCGTACACTATTTGGAATGTCCCGTACTTCCGTGATAGGCATACCACGTACGCGACTTACAGTGTAATATTTGGTAGTTTCAAATAAGAGGAGTTTGGGGTTTTAGTAAATTTGAAACGTGTGAAATGATTCAAAACAGGGCTTTAAGATTTTTTCTTGGCGCCGATAGGTTTTCCCCACTCAAGGCTGTAAAAGGTGACACTGGGTGGGTCTCGTGCAGAGATCGGAAATGGGCCCATAGAAGAAGACTACAGGATTGTATTGTTGATATATTATTTCAATCTCTCTTTCATAACCTTTATTTGTAAATGTAATCATTATTATATAAGATGACTGGGCTGGGCAGTTCATTGAGCTGCAGGTCACTATAATAAATTACTTACTTAGAGGGCGCTTGCAATGCACTGAGAGATATCGATAAACAAAATACGGTGAGCATGCTGCCCATTAAATCAGACAAGAAAACGTAACTGTACACAACAAGCAAAAATTGAGAGACATAGTTCACCACAAGTCAGTTTCAACGTCGCAACGTTCAACAATCTCGTTTTCACTTTTTACGGTTACTTATTTTGCTAGATTAGGCAGGCAAGCGATTTCGTCAGAATTGTTGTAACGTATATGTTTTTATTCCAGTTCTATTTCTATGCAACACGGTGATCTGAACGTACTCACAAATGCCGACCACGTGACAGTAAACAGAACAATACTACGTGTAAACCACTACAAGTAAGTTATCGCGTCATGTCATGTCTTGCCTTGCCTTGAGTGTGATTTGCACTTCATACGACATTTAGGGCGGATTTCATCCTGGAAACTTTCTGAAAATCGAGATAAATGAAGGAACAAATTATGAATATCTCTTTTTTCAGACCATAGCTAATTGGTCTATTCAACCATGGTGTTTTGAACAGCGGACAGGAGAGAACAAGTCTCGCGCTTCTCTCCCTCTCACGCCCTCAAGAATATTTATCTAATGGCTATGAGAAAATGTTTTCTCGACGTAAAATTCATATATTTTGTACTAATTGGGTCGAGATTTCAATGAAAATATTGAGCAGATTGTTCTCTTCCATCATAGTAGGAAGCGAAGGATGGTACGATTCAGTTGCTTGGCACCAATTATTGATTTTGAATCAGGAAAAAAAAAGGTTTACAGAGATTAAGGACCTATATTAAAAGCCTAAACCATTCATATAACATTATGATTGAAGTGGTCACGTGGGTGAATTAATTATAACCCACATTCAATGGGGACCGGTAATTTATGTCGCACGACTGCCTCGATCGATTAATACCATGTTGTCTGATCATCTTCTGCGGGGTCAATGTTTGACAACGATTCTAGCAGGTCTTACATATTCGGTGATGTACATTATTTTATTCAGTTACCCACACGTTTACATTGTAGATAGTTGTATAGCAAAAATCTTCAAACATTTCAGTACTTTATAGTATTCCGATAGCAACGCAACGTGGCGCGAGATAACGTAACATGGCGCGAGATAACGTAACATGGCGCGAGATAACGCAACATGGCGCGAGATAACGTAACATGGCGCGAGATAACGCAACATGACGCGAGATAACGCAACATGGCGCGAGATAACGCAACATGGCGTAAAAGGTTGAACGTTCTTGTGATAATAAAACAAATACAATATTATTTAACTTATCAAACATTGCTGAACAAAATACAAACGAATGACTACAAAGTACCATATATATAAACAATATAATGACGACACAACATACTGTGAACAATATTTATATTTGTTTCTCTTCTTTCAGGACTGGGTTTTCACAGGGCAAAGAACTCGACGCCGGAATGAAACGTTTTATTCCACGTGTGAAGGCATACCTTTGTCGACGTTTAGGACAATGTCTTTAATAGCGGCACAAATGATTCATGACTTTGCTCATACCAGATCAATAAACTATCACATGAATATATGGTACATAATATATACCCGTATTATACCAACCGTTATGATCACGTGAATATATAGTACATAATATATACCTGTAATATACCAGCTGTTATGATCACTGCCATCATATGGATATGAATCGTCAGTAAGCCCGGGATGTTATCCGAAGTTAAATACTAAACACATTCGTTTTGTGTTCGTGTATCTCCACTTGGCATTGACACGCAGTTTTTGCCAATGGTGTTGTATAAGAGACTTCTTTCGCCGAGGAGGTATCGATTATCCATACCAGTGCTAGATAGTTTTGGCATTACTAAATAGATAAATCTGTGGGAATTGTTAAGAAGAGGAATGGAAGAATAAACCGCGTATGGACTGCAATAGATGACTTTATTGAACGAACTATGAATGAATCATGAACGAACAAGACGAACCAAAAACGAACTGAAGAAGAGACGTTTCGTCTCCTATTTATATTATCAAAGTAAATATTGGCCTTGTTCATGAATGGTTACAATGAATATGGCCTTGTACATGATTGGTGAAAAGATAAAGGAGCTGATTGGTTGAAATTAAAACAATCCCATTGGCTGTCTAAATCTCAGTCAGAATTCTAAATTGTACTCAAGCTCAATTTTCCGACAAAATCTACATGTCAAATCAGTCACGGTTATTTTACCTAGTCGTCAGGGTCACCGTGATTCAGTGATTATCGAAGGACTTTTGTTCTATCACGACATCGTACCTGTATATATTGTTCAACGTAATGTAAATATATGTATCATCTGGAATAAATATATTTAGAACCTTTAAATATTGACTATATTCGACCTGAGCAACGCCACCTATCGGTATGTTAACTGCATCATCGCGAACGCTATACTAACAAACATGTTAGTGGTTTTTGTTCCCAGAAATTAAAAACAAGTTTTAAAATGTAAAATACAAGTCTGTGAATGCTTTCTTTCGATATTTCTCTTTTAAGTTCATATGGATTGTTTTCCTTGTTCTTCAATCGTCGTCCTCGTGACATGATGATGACCGCACAACACAGAACGACCCGATATCGTTGAGGGATGTACATCCTGTAACAAAAATTAGGGTGAGCATTTAAAGCGGGGGAGTCGTCACCTGCACATGCGTCAGATGGCCATAGCGTGTCAATGTTTACAAACAAGCGTCTACCCATGAGCCTTTGCGTTTTTAGCATGTGTTGTTATCATCGCTTGGGACTAAATTCCGCGCGTGCGCAGGTGACGACTCTCCCGCTTTAAATAC